TACTTAATAAGAAATATACAAAATATAAAAAAAATTGAATGACAGGTATTTTTTCAGCTAAAGGTCCTTCTTCCCCTTAAGTCTGACATGTCGGTTGACAATGGTTATCCTTGGGGTGTCAATTTCAACTGTTACCCTCCAAATCAGGCACCATTTATATAATGTCTCCCTACTATACATTATACAGTCAATAAATGTACAAGAATCGACTTCCTTTTGTAGTTGTGGTATTTTGAAAAAATGTATTCTTTATATACATGCAGTGTTCTCATTGTTTAAATACCATATGACATTTCACTGACAATGTATCACACTTCATGATTTACAGTATGATGTACTATAAATCAAATTACCATTCTTTGATTACAGTGTGAGCTTGGAAGATTTCCACTTGAAATTTATAGAAAAAAGAAAACTTTTAATTACGTACCGACTAAAATTACAAAATAGTGACAGTTGCATACTTAAGTCATGTTTACAGGATATATGGTTACCGTAGAAAACGATAATGTACAGATTACAAACATAATAAATGAATTTCATCAAAATGGTCTAGTAAGAGGTTTGTATTATTAGTTTTACAACTGTACAATAGTAATGTAGATTCAAAATCTGTCAAGACATTGTATGAAAGAATTTGTAACATTTTTAAACAAAAAGAGTTTTTTAATTTTTATGCTTCATCCAAAGGATTTTCATATTTACATTTGGTGGATAGTTTTACTTTACAATAATACATTTGTAAACCTTTACACAATTTATAGAACACTCAAATAAGCTACATTATGTGCTCATGATTTGAAAATTGAAAGAGGAAGATATAATGATACCCCAAGGTACCAGTATTGTAGAAAATTTATTTCTGTACCATCGGTGATTTAGAAGATGAATTTCATTGTATACTTTTAAAAATGCCCAAAATAAGAAAATCTGAGATAAAAGTACAAATGTATATCTAAAACTACTACTCTTGTCACCCTTAGGTGTTTATAAATTAGTCCAACTGTTAACTATAATAGTCCAAATAGAAAGCAAATAATATACATAACCTTGGAAAATATATATTCTTTAATTTTGAAGGGAATTTCCAAATGTTGTGATCACCCTTACTTATTATGCTAAATACATGTATGTTGTTCATATGAGATATTGTATTTATGGATATTATTTATACCTAATTGAGATGTACATCTCTATGCTCAATAAAATCTGAAATATGATGTTATAAACTGATATGAAGTGGTTTTTGATGGACATACCCTATGCAAATAGCAGTGTGCAAATAAGTACATGGTGCTCACAGTCAGGTACATATTTTTTTTTTTTTCAAAAGGTAAAGTCATTTCCTATAGAGAAGGCCTTGATAGAGAACAAAATGAAAAGTAGAGTACCCAACAAACTGTTATCAAGTAAAAGAAGTTTAACACATTGGCTTTTCTTTGCATCACACCTTGAGAAAAGGTGTTACATCAACCTCCCCAATATATAAGTAGATTTTTTTTTAATTTGTGCAGATCTGAGGAATGTGAAATGACAGATTTGTGTAGCAACCTTAACACAGTCAGATGGATAAATGGCTTCAGTTAAATAGTGCTCCATCAACCACCCTTGTCACATTTTGTGAATTTAAGGAAGATGTCAACAAAACATACAGCCATGATAGTCTGACACGAACTAGGTACGACAATAAAACCTACCTGTACTTTGGGATTCTGACCGCACAGAAAAATAAAATAATCATAATAATTAAGAACTCTGTTCAGACACACATTTAATTCTATGTAGAGTTTGACGCTTTGCATGTTCTGAGACAAAGTATACGACACAGGCACTTGACGTTTTAAACCTTTCTCTTTATTGATAAAAATATCCCCAAACTATAATATTTTTATCAAGAAAAAAAAAGATTTAAAATGTCAAGTGCTTGTGGTATATGACTACATTGTATAAAGATTTATAATTAAGTACTAGATTTTAATATCAGATCAGAACATAACATGGTGTCGTATTTTTATGCAGTCGAACTCTTCGGTTGTTTTGTTAAGTTGTTTGTAAGCTAACTCTCCATCGTCAAACTTGTTAAAATTTATATTTATCTTAGATTTTCAATACCATATGACCATATCAATCATGATTGTACATACATACAATAAACCTATTTACTGGGTCATCTAAATTATCGTAAAACCATAAATTGTGAAATGTGGCTATATACAGCTGTAGCATCAAGGCATCTGATTTATAGATAAAAACTCATTAAACAAAAAACAAACAAACAAACAAATTAATGATAAGGCACCATGGTAAACTGAACAAAGAAATAAAATCTGACATTTTAAATACAAGATTTCATTGAGTACAGTTTTGTTGAAGCATGCAGCCATTAACACAAAATTTTAATATGCTTAAAAAACAAAAGCATAGCTAGGCTTGACTTTTTTATCATTTACTAAAGGAAACTTTCCAATGTAATGCTGATAAAGATGGCTGGGTTTTTTATTTGATGCATTTGATCAATATCACATTGGTTAATGTGTGTGTTGTGAACAAAGCCCACCCTGTTCATTATATCAAGATTTATTTTCAAATTTTTTAATTTAACTTTCCTTTAACAGTATATTGAACCTTTTAGTTACATACGTCAATAAATTTCTAAATATAAGATGAAAAGTTTACAATTTAATACAATGTAAATTTAATTGAGTTATTTAAATAAACCTGACTGTTCTACATGAAGTACCGCAAAATTTCTAAAGTGGTGACTGCATTTTCAATGAATATAAAATCTGATCAGCTTATTTTAGATCATTCATAAGCATACATAACAACTCATGACTACAAGTCGTAAACATCTTCAGTCATATCACACCACAACCCCCCGTCCAATCAATGTCCCCTTATTCCATGTTTATGCTTGCTCACATGTTAAAATTCAACATTTAAATTTCTTTTATTTCATTGAGAGCTCCAGATCTTTTGACATTTGTATCACAGTCCTTTTAAAACATTCCCATTATTAAACTTGACTACTGTGCAATGTATACAATTTCTCTCATGAATTTCAAAATAATTAAGCATGGTACATGCACGGCACTCTATACTGACTTAGACTATATATGCTAATAAAATGGGTACAAATCTGAAGAAAAAAAATTCAGTATTATGTAAAGACCATTAAATTTAGGATCAATTATAGACCAATAAAAATGTCAAATCTATATGCACAAATATATTTTGAGACATATTAATGCATTTCATTTTCTAACCAAACATTATTTCCAAATAGACTTTGTACTCTCTCTCCCTTTCTCTCTCTCCTGATGATATCATACCTTTGGACAGGACCACTTCTTATCGCACTTGATTTGAAGCTTTTTTCATAATCTAAATCAATGTTAAGGGTGTGTTTCTACAAGAAAAGAAAAGAAAAATCATTCATGTAAAAATATTTTGGTTCTGATCTTTAACAAGGTTTGATAGTGATCAATGGCAAATTAATAATATTAAACTTTGACCTGACATTGATAACTCAACTGAGGCAGAAAAGCTGGAAAACTACAGAAGATGCACATTAAATGTGCATGTAGTAAGACTGCATTATAAAAACCTTTTTTCTCGGACCATTACAAATTTATGTATCATAAATTTTTGTTTTGTGTTGTGTCTCTATTTTTTAGGAACTTAAACATGTTAAAAGTTAATAAAACTTGAATCATAAAACAATCCCAAGATCCTCTTTTTACTTCTGATTTATCAAAAAAGTTTAATAATTTTCATTTGTTCTACATAACGGTAATTATTATACTTTCATATCATTGATATATTTTTTTTTTATTTCAATTACATATGTAAGTCTTTCATAATTAAAAAAACTAGATATATGTCCATAGGACATGAATGCCCCGCCAAGGGTATATTAGTAATGCAACATTTTAACACAAATTGAGAAAAGTGAGGTCAAGGTCAAAGGAAAGGTCAAGGTCAAAAAATATTGCTGCAGTTGAATAGCTCTCATCAGTATGTATCAGCATATGACGTTTGATTCAGAAACTAATTTAAGAAAAGTGAGGTCAAGATCAAAGGAAAGGTCAAGATCAAAAAATGTTGATGTAGTTGAAAAGGTTACATCAGCATGTATTAGCATATGAAGTTTGATGAAAATATTATGAATGGTTTCTTTAAAACTGAGCTAAACACTAATTTAAGAAAAGTGAGGTCAAGGTCAAAGGAAAGGTCAAGGTCAAAAAATATTGATGCAGTTGAATAGCTCTCATCAGTATGTATCAGCATATGAAGTTTGACACTAATTTAAGAAAAGTGAGGTCAAGGTCAAAGGAAAGGTCAAGGTCAAAAAATGTTGATGCAGTTGAAAAGGTTACATCAGTATGTATTAGCATATGAAGATTGATGAAAATATTATGAATGGTTTCTTTAAAACTGAGCTAAACACTTATTTAAGAAAAGTGAGGTCAAGGTCAAAGGAAAGGTCAAGGTCAAAAAATATTGATGCAGTTGAATAGCTCTCATCAGTATGTATCAGCATATGAAGTTTGACACTAATTTAAGAAAAGTGAGGTCAAGGTCAAAGGAAAGGTCAAGGTCAAAAAATGTTGATGCAGCTGAATAGCTCTCATCAGTATGTATCAGCATATGAAGTTTGATAACACTATCTTGAATGGTATCTTTAAAACTGAGCTAAAAACTTATTTAAGAAAGTGAGGTCAAGGTCAAAGGAAAGGTCAAGGTAAAAAATATTGATGCAGTTGAATAGCTCTCATCAGTATGTATCAGCATATGAAGTTTGTTAAAAATATCTTGAATGGTTTCATTAAAACAGAGCTAAACATTAATTTAAGAAAAGTGAGGTCAAGGACAAAAGAAAGGTCAAGGTCAAAAAAATGTTGATGCAATTGAATAGCTTACATCAGTATGTATCAACATATAAAGTTTGATTACACTATCTTGAATGGTATCTTTAAAACTGAGCTAAACACTAATTTAAGAAAAGTGAGGTCAAGGTCAAAGGAAAGGTCAAGGTCAAAAAATGTTGATGCAGTTGCATAGCCCTCATCAATATCTATCAGCATATGAAGTTTGATAAAAATATCTTGGATAGTTTCTTTGAAACTGAGCTTTGAACAGAGCTAAACGCAAAGTGTGACGGAAGGACAGACGGAAGGACGGAAGGATGGAAGGACAGAAGGACGGAAGGATGGAAGGACGGAAGACGGACATGACACACACTATATGCCCCGGCCATATTCATGGCGGGGCATAAAAATGATTTAAATACTTGAGCAAAGCAAATCACAGAACTTTATACACTTATGAAGGAATGTACCGACTGCAAACACCTCTTTTACATGAAATAAACATTATCTTCTGACATTACAAAGCTTTAACCTAATTTAATGTACTTTCAAAAGTCAAAATTTCATTCCCTAACACACATCAACAATTCACCAACAACATCCACTTTAGATAAGCAGTCTTTTACATCATACAAGTGGATCAGTACATTTGTTTTGGAGTACCGTGACGTAAAATTAAAATGATAAATTGTACTGAGCAATAAATTGTGTCTACACTCCTAAATATCAAACAGGATTTGCTTTATCTTGATTATAAACATTTCAATATGGTGTATTCACATAGAACCGTAAAATTTAAATTTCATTTTTCTTTCTTTAAACTCCTAATTGAACAGTCAAACAAGCCACATTTCAAAACTGCTTTGACCGAAACTAATTTTTATTCAGCCAAAAGAGAATTTCTTTTCTGAGACACAGAAAATTTCATTCAGTAAAGTATTAGCTTCCAAACATATACAAGCAGGTCATATGACCAACTTGTTCAAGTTGTCTCGACTTTTTTGTTTGTACATGCAATTGGCTATCTGATAAACACACTTTATAAACCTATCTAATATCTTTAATTCTTTATGACAGGTTTTCTGATTCACCTGGCGACTGTTTCACAAAGAGATATCAATATTTACAAGACATCAGAGATCTTCCGAGTCTCCAAGACGTTATAGGCCACCTGATTTCATGTTCCTTGCAGTCTTTCCAGATTTATATGATCTTGTATCATAGGCGTTGGAACCAAGGGGGCTAGGGGGGCTTAGCCCCCCTCCCACTTTTTTGCAAAGATAGAAATAAATATAGACATTGAAAATTGAGGCTTACCCTTTTTTTGTTGGTTTAGCCCCCCCCCCCCCCCCCCCACTTTCAATTTGCTTCCGATGCCTATATGTGTATAAATGCATTTTTTCTACTTTGACCCTACGATTAACTTAAAGTCAATGACATGTACTTTTCTTTCCAACCATCCCTCAATTACTTTCTGTGTTCCAGTTCAATCAAGCCACTTGATTCAACATCAATACAAAAAAGTCATTATTTTAATGTCTGCTTGAGGAGCATCCCTTTGTTCGCTGTGACACAGCGAAATAATGAAGTGACTATAGACAAATGCCAACACACGGATTATTCAATATATAGATCAAATGCAGTTACTAAAGGAAAAAAATGTAGAATAATTAGAGAAATCAATACTAGGTCACAATAAATGGAACCCCAAATGTCAGCTGACTGGTTGTGATGGAAACCAGTAAACATCTCCATAGCAATAGAGACACAATCTTTATTTGATCTTATTAACACAGAACTGAACATATGTCTTGCAGAAGGACAGTATATTGCTACTTGATTGAGCTGCATGTTTTTATACTCTGACATTAAATATTTTGCTGCTGACAAGGACTGAATGTATTGTCGTATAGTATATACATAATTGATCTGTAAATCCACAATTCAAATTTAAATGATTCTCACAAACAACAATTCATTAAACCACATACACCAAGTCAAAAGTTGCATTAAAATTTTTCAATCATTACAATATTTATGAGAAATGTTAAAAGTGCTTACAGGGAGGTAATTACCCCTAAAGTGTTCTGAATGGTAATGTGATACTATCATTCTTTATATATACTCACACTGACATATTTCTAAAGTACTAAGAATGATGTCAAGGTAATTATTCAAAAAGTACTCTTAATAATGATTTTCCCCCTAATTCATTTGCAGGTTCAACCATTCAAGTCCAATTGACCTTGCTAATACAGTCAAACCTCGTTATCTCGAAGTCAATGGGACCAAGAAAATACTTCGAGATATCTGAGGATTCGAGATATCCAGGGTGAAATACTTAAAGAATAAGCGGTTGGGACTTCCAAATCACTTCGACATATCCATGGTATTCGAGATATCAGTGTTTGAGATATCGAAGTTCAACTGTACTAAAAAGAAACATACAAACAAATCAAAGTACTGTGAGTACTGATAGATGGTGGCATGAATGATTTTGTTTGTTTAACGTCCCTCTCAAGAATTTTTCACTCATATTGAGACATCACTATTGCCGTTGATGGGCTGCAAATTCAGATCTATATTCAGCACTCCAGGCCATTGAGTAGTGAGGGATCTTTTCTGACCAGCACTTACTGCGACACAGGACCTCGGTTTAACTGTCTCCACGTCCCGCAGTGGGATTTGAACCCGCTATGTGAGGATCGACTCCTTCATGTTCGTGACTCTAGAGCAAATGCTAACCACTGCGCCTCACGGCGACTGGCATTGAATGAGATAAAAAATTATAAGAATCTGTAAAATGATATAATGGAAATTACGAAATTTTATTGCAATTTTTCACGATACATGTTTTTAATAAGTAAACTATATTTCCGTACAGTAGTATAATGAGAATTTATTGCATGAAGTTTTCTACATTAGGTTTATTATAAAATAAGGATTGAATAAAAAAAACAAACTATCCTGAAATGCCAGAAACGAAACTTTGATCATTTCAGGGTTTTTTCTATATGTTCTATTGTGGTGTACAGTCATAATTGCAAATTTAAAAATGAAAACATATTTAAGGATGATGGACAGATTGAAATTATGTATTCAAATAATGGATTTTGGGATGTTTTAGTACTTTTCCCCATAAATTAATGCTTAATAAGTGTCAAACCCAGTTTACCCTAAATGTTAAATAATAAGGGAATCAAGGTTCCTAATATACTAATGTCGTGACCGAACATTTCTATTCTAAGATGCATGTTTTACAAAAATGTGTAATGAAATCGTGGTGTTTTGAAGTTAGAAATTTTGACTTTATAATTTCAAATCTTTACTCAGTGATCAGTAATCAAATTTTGCAATCCCCCCCCCCCCCCCCAAGAAAATACGATCAATTTTTCGTAACTTATTGGAAAAGTTTTTAAAATTTTGAGTAGAATTGAACCCACAATATTTTTAAACAAAAACTTACTTTTCATAAAGTATATGGTAAAAAGGGAAATGATGAATCACTTTTGGTCATGTACTGTAGACTGTGCGACATAAATAATATGCAGAAAGATAATGAAATAGACTTTATCCTTGGATTCCCATATTTGCCAAATTCCCTGGCTGTAATCAACTAGCTTATTTCTAAAAGCTTGAAAGACTTTAGGAATTGTACAGAAGTCTTACTTTTTTGTTTGATATATTCTGTTCGAAAAGAAAAAAAAAAGAAGAACAGAGAAACAAAATATTTGTCAGCCTCTATTTCTCCATTGTCTCAAGCCACGGTTCGGAGTCGGCATATAGTTCTCTTCAGAATGGGAGAAGATTGTATATTTTGGCTGTGGTTTGTGATGATGCTATTTCTCATACGTAATCTTAATATGCACTGACCCTGCTTATTGCTGCTAGTCATTGCGCAATACAAAATTTAATTTGTGAACACAAGCAGGAGAAGACTGACCTAAATTAAGCCCACTAAATTCGCAAGAAAATCCTAATATTTCATACACATGTATTTTAGTACCATTTTTCTTACACTTTTTAAAGGGTAAATTTCATTCGAGGCACGATAGAATTTTCAAATACGAATGAAATATATTGTTAACTTTTGTCCGTCACAGTCTTTTTAATTATAACTTTGATAAATTAGCATTCGTTCAGTAGTTTTTGTGTCCGAGATAATTAGGCAATGGCTTAATATTATTTATTTATTTATTTTTTTTTAGATAGAATCATAATAAACTTTGCAAATTTTATGGCATCGTATCTGCTCCAACAACTCTTTTATTAACTGATTATCGATAAGATCTCGTGATCTTTTTTTTTTCTTTCCGAAAATAAATATATATATTTCTAATATTTTATCGTCAGTAGATATTATAAATTCAAACAATCGAAAGACATCGTAAAATTACAGTTAACTTTAAAAGTTTTATTGTATAAAAATTCTACAAAATGTCTCAAATAAAACAGTTATCAAACATGCAATTCCGGAACAAGGAATGTGCAATCCTGGAATCATATTGTACTTTTGGAATTGGAGAAATTTGGATATCAATGCTTTCCTAGCATGAAGTATCTCATAATTAGGGAGTATCAAATTGGGAATGTCTCGTAATTACCGTTTGTCACATACATGTAACTAAGAAACCAACGTGCGTTTGTTTAGCAATTATAATTATTTGATTTCAAAGTTAAAATGTGAAACCATTATTCTCAAATATTTTTTCCTTAAATATTCTGACTATATTAATAAATATTATTTAAATTTTACACTAACACAATGTTAAATTTCTGTAGTTTGCATACGAATATACGAGTCAGTCTGTGTACGAATTAGTTATAGGTCGGCGTAATTTAATGAATATTCAAGAAGCGAGAAATATCGATAACGGCAAATATCAGGAATTAAGCTCTGTGTCCATCAACAAAATGTCTTTGAAATAACTTGAGAGTATTTCTTTACTATGTGCATTTTATTTTCAAACATTGAATCAACCCTATTTTCATTATTTTTACTCTGCAAAAATCGCCGCTAGGGTCCTCATGATTTTACACTGTTGTTATTTATAGCCCAAAAGCAGCAGCAATTAATAGCTGGTGGCTATAAATAGCCACCGTCTAAACACAAAACAAAGCAAACAAAATAGGATCATTAGAAGTACTTTATGAATAATTACCTTGTTATTATTCTTAGCTATAGGGAGAAAATCATGCATAAAGTACTTACAATGAGGTAATTGTTCCATGCACTGCGGATCAGCATCAGCATGGGGGACTGAAGATTTAGGAGGTAAATACTGACTGATGTCTTTTTTCGTTCCTCGGGAGCCAGAAGTGTGTTGACTCTGATGATTGAACTTCCAAAATCGGACACGGAAGCCATACCAAGGTTACTAAAAATAGACAGTCTCAGGTCAAAGCATGTATTTTTGTATGAGGATTATTTATAAACATCTGCAGGTACAATGTATATAACTAAACAGTTTTTTTTAAATACAGGAATAAATAAGGCATTAGCAATAAAATTAAATGGCAAAGTATCACACAATCTAATGACTTACATACTGGTACATTTTGTTATAATTCAATGGTATGTTAAAATTTACTTAAGTATTCCAAACATTTTGGATTAAAATGGAATTTTGAAATAAAATATGAATATATGTATGTACATGTACCAAGTTTAGAGGATATTCATAATACATTCACAAAATGAAGTAAAAATCTGAAGATACAGTATTTGTTTAGAGGTTGGCATAAAATTGATAAACTAAACCAACACAATAAAAGAAATTGATGTTTTCAGTGCCAACACATGCATCAACTCTCTCTCTATCAGTGCTTTCACTGGGGTGATTTGGAAAACTCCATACAAAGTGAATATAAGGTGATCACGTGACCCTAAAACCATGTCACACACAAGTTGACAGTGTTTGAAAGTTAATCCCATGTACATTCAAGACATGTGACCTTCAGCCAAGCATCATTTTATGCCCAACTAAGCCCTTAGAATGAAAATGGACATAATCCTGGTGGCCTGTCACCAATTTATTGGAACCAGGTCAAGTACAAGATATGGCTTCAAGATGAAAGAAACAGTATGGATACATTTGTAGGAGGTCTTGCTCTTGAAAATTACTGCCTTTTTTAATTTTCCATGTGATCCAAGAGTATCTCCATTTTTCAAATGCTGTCATTGAGCCTGCAAGGCTAATCGAACATATGCTCAAAAAAGGTGGGAGAGTTCAGCACTTTTCTTTTAAATGGAACCAACACAGTGTTTTATTTTCCTTATATAACTGGTACCGATAACAGTACCATTCCCAATGCCCAGAAACATTTTAAAATTTTCCCAATTTTGAGACTAAAAATTCCCAATTCAACTGCCCAGCAATAGACTATGATGACATCGTATTTCTTTTTATATGCAACATTGAACAAGTTGACTTACTGTTTCACTTAAATCAAAAGTAGAGATTAGGCGTAATATGGTGGGACCTGTGGTGTAGACAGCATAGTGTCGTACATTTTGACAAATTGAAGCATGAAAATGCGAAAACAAGGGACACTGATACGAAAAACAATAAATACATGTTGTTTATTCTTTAAAACATGGAGTAATAGGTAATGTAGTTGGAATAAATGCAAATACATTTCATTTGTTTAAATGACAGAAAATTCTCCTTTGCTCTGCTTCAATGCTATTTTTCCCAATTGTACCAGTACCGGACCCTTTCCCAATGGGTAGAAAAAAAATTGCTGCAACACTTTCAAAGAACTTTTACTTCACTTTGTTACCATTCACAAGGAATTCATTTCAGGTGAAACAAAAAATTTTCCAACAGTCTCCAAATAATGTGGAACTGAGAATTCATATAATAAATGCAAAAGTGCAGTCTTCGACAAATCCCGGGAGTCCGAAGCCTGGGACCTGGTAAAATTGGAAGCGGGCATATGGAAATTGCATACTTACAAGCCCCAAGGGCATGTAAAATCTGAGGCCTAAGCCTCCGTATTATCAAATTCAATAATGCCAATAACATTAAATGTACTTAAAAGTCTGATTTTTCATCTAAGGTGGAGCACCAAATAAAATTTTAACGATAGTTTATTCTACCATGATTTCCAAGGAACTCTTTTGCAAAGAAGACACAAAAAGTATATACGTTGAAAACAATACGTGACTTCCAAGGAACTCTTTTGCAAAGGAGACACAAAAAGTGTACAGGTTGAAAACAATATTAATGGCGAGACAATAGATCGATAGAAATGATTTCGGATCATTTCCTTGGCATGAAAAGGCAAATAAGAATAAAATTACTTGATAAAATTCTGGGCATGTAAATATTTGTTCAGGCTAGTGTAATAAGTGGTTAAACCTGCCCGAAGGGCATGTACTGAAAAAAAGATTTGGCGAAGATTGAAAGTGGATTTTTAGGGGTAATAACTTTGTTCTTATTTACTTTTAATCAATTCAATTAGATGTACTAATTTCACAAAAGTCTTTCTAGCACACTTAAAAGATATATATATATATATATATATATATATATATATATATATATATATATATATATATATATATAAAATATATATAGAATATATACAATATAGACATCCTATAATTAATATACAAGTGTTAATATATAAGTCTGTCCTCCAAAATCAGATACAACTAATTAAAAGCAGAAAGTAAGCCTGGAAAAACTAGTCATACTACAGCTTTATCATATCATGCATGTAAATACTGGGATTAAAGGTACTAACATTGTACAAATTAGGGAGACCAATATGTTGACGTCGACATTAGGGTTTTTTTTAAGGTCAAAATCAAGGGCCTGGGCCTTTCTATTTGGAAAAAATAGGGACATTTCATTTAAATTGGGAAAAATATAATATTTCATATTTAACATTTTCTACAAAAATTCAAATAGGAATTTTTTTTTTTTTTTTTATTTGCAAGGTATTTATTGTCAGACTTATTTTACATTCAGTCAATCAGATTTTAGAGCATGCATGCCTTTTAGATTTTTTTTTTTTGGAGCACAATTCCTGATATATGTTACTGAGTTCAGATATTTTTTAAACCATATTTGTTTCAATTGTCTTTGGGGAATTTCCTTTTATGAAATTGGGAAAAACACATTCTTTTTACCATTGGGAATGGGGCAAAATATAGGCCCTCTACAACTCCTAAAAATAAAAACCCTGGACATTGTACTAAATTTAATTTAAAAAAAAAAATGCATTCAGCATGTTCAGAGATGAATTCCAGTAAACAATATGATACACTTGAAAATGATGATTTATAATTTTGTTTTGTTTTAGGTAATATTAAGACCTTTTCCAATCGGCAGAGAGGTCAGACAGTTGATTCAACATGTGAGTGTACTTTATATTCCCTCTCTTTAAAAATGTTGAAAAAGATTCGATCACATTTTTTTGTTATACTATCTCTCAAAAATTTTAATATGTGGAGTCATATTGAAAGTGATGTGACTAATCTGACCATGGATGATGGTGTTTTTTTTCTTCCCAGGACAGCTTATCAGATACTGCTTAACATAAGCAGAAAGCTTCTTGTATCATTGATGATGGATCAGGAAAGAATCATTCATCACATGCCACAAACATGATGTAATAAAACTTGTTGCTGATTTTTGAAGACAAATGATGTGAGACTTGAATGGTACATGTATACCTGTATCTTATGTTGACACCGTGTCTTAACTTCAAACAACATAAATCAAAATATAGGTTTCACTCATCACCAGTGTTTCATAAGTTAAAAGTTGGTAACATTTAATAAGAACTGTCAGACAGCTACTATATACTATATACAGAGAAAAAAATTCTTGTTATGACAGACACCAGAAAGTGTTATAAAACAGCAACAGAAAGATGTAGAAAACTTGAGATTAAAATCAACAAATCAAATTTTGAGGGAAATATGGGAAAGAAAACTAGTGATTAGCACAATAAATCAACAGAAATGTCAGTACAAGAGGTGGAAGTGCGCTCAAACACCTGCCCAGTTACTATAGTAACCATGCTACTAGCCTACATCTTACCTGGCACTACGTGTGCCATCAAACTCCTGAGCTGGGGTCCCTGCCCTGGATATGCCTCGAATTGTCGTCACTGATGAACGACGGGAGTTTACTAAAGGTTCCTGTACTAATGATTGCATAGACCCCTTGTGTCCCTGGCTAGCAATATCAGAAGTGACATCAATATTTATCTCAGGTTTCTGAGGGGCACTACCAGTAAAGAACACTTCATCATTGGAAGATTTTCCATTGGTCACAACAGGTTTCTTACCGCTATCCTCTTTAACCATATCATCACGACCACAAGACACACGTGAAGATCGGAAACAATTAAGGCTAAAACAGTTACAGAGCTGGGGTTTTTCTGCTTCAACTTGATCATGAGAAGAATTATTTTGATTACTAACAACATTTAATTTATTTTCAGTGGAAATAGAAGGGGCCCTTGGCTGGGGCCGTACTGACCCAGACTGACTGAGAGTGGTGTCTATTGATTCCCGATGATCCAATGACCTCCTTTGACCTGGTCCTTCCTTGCCTTTGCTTCTTCGAGTTGACTGAAGAATGGACGTGTATGAGGCAGAAAAAACTCCATCTAGGTCATCCATGTCTTCCAGCTGCCCATCCTCCATTTCTTCTTTGAGTGCCTTAAGTACACTGTCTTCCATCCCATCACCTATTCTTTTCTTCTTTTTTAGACTGCTGGTCTTAATTTCTCTACTGCTTGGTTTAAGTCCCTGTGATGAGCTCACAGAACCACGGCTCTCTGGCCTGCTACTGTTTATCTGTAAACTTGATGTGCTTTGTGTTATGTAACCGTAATCTTCAGACCAATTACTTCCTTCTTGAATAGAAATATTTTCCAACGGTGTTGATGCATTTGATCGATCACCATGAAGATCAGATAATGAACCTGTCCTTGGAGATTTTTTCGATTTTCTCAGTGATCGTTTCTTTATTTGATCAGATGTCCAATGAAACACCTGTATGTGTTGAGTATTAGTCCTTTCTTCACCACTCAAGAAATCTGGAAAATCATTAACCTGAAAAAGAAACATACGACATCATAATTACAGACATTAATTTTCAGCATTTTTTCCCTTTTCTTAGACATTCCTTAAGTATATCCACTGAAAAGTTTTAATAATATGTCTTATGAACAAAATTGTAAAGCAATATGAGCTGCAACTTTGATGTCGGAAATTTTTGTTGCAATTTTGAATAATTAACTATTTCAATGAAAGAAAAAAAGAAATTTATAAACTTTTATTTCTTATATTTGCAATGGAAGAACTAATTTAAGCTTTGATTGAGGCAGAATTACATTTATTGTTGTCCAGTACGATATTGATTTGTTATATATACTACGAATGTCAGACACCTGGGCCCAACGACACCTCGGCCCAACTACATCTCGGCCCATTGACACCTCGGCCCTGACGGGTCAGCCTAATATTTGAGACACCTCGGCTCACATAAAAGACATCTCGGCACAAACAAAAATGTATTATTTTGAATATATTTATTCAATATATTCTGAAGCATTTTATTATGATAGGGACTATGCGAGAATTATGCGATGGATTATATTGTTATATATCCATGAAGCGAGAAAAAAAAATAAATGAATAATCTTCCGAGAGTAAATTGACGGTAATTAAAAAAAGATAATCCATTTCAAAGTGCTAATCGTTAAACAAACAAGAAGACGCGGCGCATCCTTTAGAGTCATATGGGGTGATGACAATGAGGAGTTAATTACGAGCAGGATTAAAGCTCCAGATAATAAGCACCGCCTTCAGATTTACCTGGACTGTGTACCCCCGTCAATCAAGTGAACTTAGGTCCATCATTGGGTGCTTGATATTTTTGATAGAAATACATATGTCAACAACTAATACAGATTTCGTTTTAAATTGTTTTAATCATATTTTAAATTTATAAATGCATGTATAGAGATTAGTTTAATGAAATATAAAAAAAAAATTGAAAACCAGTTAGTTTTTTAAAGACCCCCAGAAAATTTTTAAGTGAAAATAAACATTAGATTTTATGCAATTTTTAACATATCCTAACCAAAAAAACTGAAGAATTCTTAACATCATGAAATGAATAAAGTTGCATTGTAATAAGCAACAAAATGAATAAATAAATAGACCTCCCACCTCCCACTCAGTAGATACTTGCTGACATCGTTCAAAAATTCTGAAATTATCTGCTCCTATTCATCGTTTACATATCGTTATTATACATACATATAACAATACAATCACATTTTAATTCATTCCAATAAAAATCCAAATCCTGCTTTGCTCTTTTATAGGTCCCATCTCCGATGATCTACTTATATTTATATATAGAATCATACATATTTTGATGAAGAAAACTCCTGCGATTGATATAACAGAAAAATACAAAGTAAACAAGTGTCAACAATAGACAAAATACATACCAGGTCAACAGATATAATTTCCTTGAGAGGAACCATAACTTGGAGATCTTCCCGGCTTTTAGGCGGGTTCTCCGCCTGATAAATATATTCATCGTCCAGAACACAATATTTGAAGCCCTTATTCTCTTTTTCTGTCACGATGATGCATGCCTCGTATCCCCGCACGCGCTCGAACGCTTCCTCTGGCAAGGTGCGCTTGAGAAAACTCTCCAACTTGCTGTTTTTCTTGAACAAAACATCTGTGTTTCCCCGCGCCATGCATGCTCGTGGTTATTTTCACTGTAGTTTAAACTCTGATGTCAAATAACGACATTAGCTACCTATTACACGTTTACTCATTTCCAAACAATTGACACTGCTACCAAGCACTCCATTGGATTAATTGGTATGCAGGAAGTTTGTGTCAGAGGTCATATGGAGTTAATGTGGTTTTCTAAACAGAAGAGTTCTCTCAGAAGGAAAGATAACTCAAACAGAGCGTCTTGTACTGTCAAAATTTAGAAAATGCAAGTTAATGCTCTTAAAAACCAAATAATTTGATTTGTTATTTTTTTCTCGCTCTAACATTAACACTGATAATTTAAAATTTTTTATTTATAATGAGTATAAACTAGAAATTGATAAAAATTTTCAATATCTTGGAATATATTTTTTCTAGTAACAACTGAGGTACTTTTGATGATGCAAAATCGCATCTGGTACAACAAGCAAGAAAATCTATGTACTATGGTAAATTGTTCTTAGAAAAATCCAGGATATTAAATTAACCTATTGATATGCAATGCAACTATTTTGTTGTATGACATAGAAATATGGGGTTTTGAAAATTGCAACATTTTAGAATTTTTTCTTATGGAATTAAAAAAAAGCTAAAAAGTCTACTCCTCGTTGTATTGTTTATGTAGAGATAGGTACATGTAGAATACCACTTACTATACCAGTAAAATCTAGAATGGCTGGTTTCTGGCTAAGGAAGTTTTGTGTAGAAAAAATAGAAAATTTCCTTCACATTGAACTTACTTTTTTATCAGATTATTTCAAGAGGTTTTTATCGTTCAGAATCAGGGACCTATATACTATATACTATTCATACTTAGTATATAGGTTCCTGTTCAAAATGGCTCGTGGAAATTAAGAATATTTTACATGAATGTAATTTGGATTTAAAGTGGAATGCTCAGCATGTTGATAAATCATGCAAGATAGCGGATATGTTAAGAATACATTAGGAGGTAGTTTTATCCAAGGTTGGAATGTGATTGTAGTAAATTCTCCAAAATTGTGCCTTAATAATATAGTGTGATTTTGGTTTCGAGAATTATCTAAACATGTTACCATCTGATCGTAGATTACATTTGTGTAAATTTCGATGTTTAAATAATAACTTGCCAATTGAATCTGGTAGATTAAACCATTTTATACGTAGTATTGATAGATCTGAGAAGCATTGTATAATTTCTGCAATGATAATGAACTTGGTGAGGAGTTTCATTATTTATTTAGATGCCCTTTTTTGAGAATGAAAGACAGAAATTTATACCCAGCAACATTTATATGAATCCAAACACAATATCTTTTTTATGATTTGATGAATACTTGTAATATTTAAAACTAACAGGTTAAGAAAAGTTTTGTAAAGTTGTTCTTAAATCATTTCGTACCTGAACTTCCTACAACATAAACATTACATGTTTTTTAACAACTGTCGGTACTGTATATTGATCATAGAATTTTTTGTTCCTTATGTTAAATGATCTCGAGTTGATTTGTTTAATTGTTAAATTTCCATTATTTACATTTGCAAATATTTTTCTTAGATGAACCTATTGAAAAGAAAATATGTTCAATTCTGTATGAACTTATTAGGGGGTCAGAGGTCATGGCGTGACCGAATCACACAGCGAGATAATATCTTGTCTACATATTTCTGTCACGGTGACACTGGTTTCGGAACTTCTAGTTCTAAGCCGTTAAAGCGATGAAAAAGATAAAATTATTGAAACATATATGTTTTTTTTCGTTCAACAAATGATCATTAGTTCTTTCTTCGGTGTGAAGAATGTGTTTAATTAGTAAAAAATCACGCTTACCTTTTTAACCCGAATTCCTCTGAAGGTATGTAAACTGAAGACGATACCACCGCTTTTGACTTCATATATTTAGAACTCATACAATAAAAGTAAGATTATTCTCAGTAGCGATCATGGTTTTTTTCATTATGAACAGATATTTCCTGAACTGGACTGCTGAACATCAATGTAAGTATTCAAATCTTGGAGCGAGGCGAACTCTCACGACCAAACAGCTTCTAGGTCATTGCGCGTCACAACATAGCAATACGGCGGGCCGTTCGAGTAATAAATGCAGTTCTTTTCAGAATATTCGTCTCAAATGTAAATAAAAGTAATAAACAACAATGTTAAAAAGTTCACTGGGAAATGAACTTGGTTGGTACGTGATCAAATCTTCTGAGAAGCCCTTCGGGCTTCACAGGATTTGATCACGTGACCAACCAAGTTCATTTCCCAGAGAACTTTTTAACATTGTTGTTTATTTCTTAATTGTGCTAACATACCCATGTTAGGAATTTAGTGACATTAAAAATGTCTCATAGTCGATCTCGTAATCTCTTTAACATCAATGAAATTGGTGCCAGGTTCATTATAATCTTTTATTCTGTTTTTTATATATGTTTACTATACAGATGTTTCGTCGGTGGACTAACATACTCTTTGTTGGGAGCATTCATCATAGGCACTTGATGTTTCATTTTTTTTTCTTCATTAAAAAAAAAAGACTTACATGTAACCCCATACCTATACCTATATGTGGCAGAGTGGATTTGCTTTAAAAAATAATGAATAAAGAATAATTATTTATTATCTCAAATGTTGTTAAATAGTTTTCATTAATCATTCTCATCATTGCACTTTTATCTATTTCACTTGCATGTTACTACTAACTATTCTGGCTGGCTGACCACGTCCACCTTTGACATATGCTGTAAGTACACGTAATTTTATTGGCCAAGGGTTTTGATTATTCAGGGTAGTTTACAGGGTAGCTTCTCGTAATATAATTTCTTTGGTTGAAAGAGAGAACGAGTGAAGTTTTGAAATAAAGTTCATTGTATTTCTGTAAGGTATTATTTTCAGTTATCGGATTGATTGTAAGCAAAGCGAGATGTAGATATTGTAATTTGAAAGTATAATTTTATTATTTTTATGATCAGCCATTGTCTTGAAATTAATTATACGACTGAAACTGTGATTATTGATTATATACATGTAGGTTCAGATTTGTCATTGTGAGAACCCGCAGAATACCTGCATAATCTGCCAAATTCCATAAATTGGTACGCTATGGCAATTACTTTTTGTTTATATGTTTTTAATACATGTATATTCTGATAAATTATTCATGTATTCATCTGAGCACGAATTTTGGTAATTCGTAAGAGTTATTCCCCTTTTTACGCATTCCTTTAAAATTGGTTAAATCTATTTTTAATAAAATCCGTGTCGATCTATGAGGACTGCATATAATTAATTACACTACTCATGTCATTTACTTTTTGTGTTTTATTTCTTATAGGGCCATTTGTTTTCTTTGTTTGATTGATTGATTCCAGTGGAATGGGATCCAATAAATGTACAAACCCTTATACCAACCGTGTTATTCTTCGTCTATATAACACAATCATATTTTTTTCTTTACTGAAAAAAAAAATCAGTAAAGAAAAATATTTAACATCTACTGTCTGTGGTTTTTGTCGACAATTTTTTTTCCATTCAAGGTATGGGGGTAATTTAAAAAAAAAAAAAAGAAGAAAAAAATATGTCAAGAGCCTAGCTGTAATGGCGATATGAGATTCTATGTCTAGATCTTTTACAATTTATTTTCAAACTTTGCACTTTTTGCTCTCCCTTATATTTCTTTTGCTTTCTTATTTATTTTTCCCCTAAGAAAACAAATAAAGAGTACTTTAAAATTACTTTTCATATTTTCTATAAAAAGGGAAAAAAGAAACACAGAAAGAAATGTATTTAAATATACATGTACAACTTATATATTGCCCTATAAGATAAGTGTAAGTAGATAAACTTCATTGACCGGCGCTTAAATTTTGTATTTATTTATTGATTTATTTATTTTTATTAAATGCTTCTTTGTTCATTTAAATAACTCCGATTTTATGCATAACCCGTCTCGATCAATTAAATTATTTAAAGAGAGAGAATGAGTTATAAATACGCAAAATATTACTCATTTTCTGGTTTATTCATCTTTCTAATAACTCTTTTCTTTATACGGATCATGGGGAAATGAACTCAAGGAAAGAGAACTAATAAAAGAGAATTGAAAATACATAATTGTAGAGAAGGTTATAGCGTTCTCTGTCAAAGTGTTCCCTAGAGTAAAACGGCGTCTCTCCAACCTGTACAGTTGGGGAGGGGGGTATAAAGTGAATATAAATACTATACATGTACATGTACGTATGTATTTGTCCACTTATGTATTCACTTACAGTCCTTAACAGAGTAAAACAGGTTAATACACTGGAAAGTTGAAATTAATCGTCTGACACCTGAGTGTAATGGATGTTATCCAGACAGATGACGCAAAATTCATTGAAGCTGAAATAGATAATCTGGCATGTCACCAGTACATATCATTGATAATGAATATCTTTCTCTTTAAAGTGCATGGATTTACATTTTCACTTAAGATATTAAATTTCAAATGAATTCCTAAAACCAAAATTTGTTGCTATAATTAAACTATGCTGTACAGTATATGTAAGTGTGATTGATACATCAACGGGTAGTAATCAAATATAATAGTACATCTCCTCGAGAAATTCTTAAAAACACAAAACTAACAAAACAAGTAAACGGGTAGTCATTTTATTGCAAGTCAAATCTTATGAGCAAACAAGATATTTCCTGAGATACAGAGAAAAGAAATGAGAGAGCTTATGTACACGGATGTATATCATGAACAATTAAAATGCAGAAATTTTAGAACCTAGCTAAACTCTACAATAAGTTAAAGTTAGCCTGTGAGAGATTGAGCAGGAACGCCATTTACAATGTAAGGAGCAGCGCAAGTTTTGCTGATTTCGTTCCAGATCAAATTCGTTGGGCAGTCCACTACGTTAGCTTGACCCCATAGGTCGCACTGGATGAACTTGCTTTTGTCTCCTGGGTAGGGGTGAAACAGATCGTCAGTGGTGGTTATTGTGGATCCTTTCTGAGCACAAAGGGTGGTTAGATCCACGGTGCCACCAGTTCCGGTACCACTTCCTGTTCCGGTTCCCATTCCAGTCCCACTTCCGGTACCTGTTCCGGCTGGGTTGGGAACGACGTTATCCGTTCCGATGTCGTAAACACAAGAGAGACGACTCTGTTCCCAAACAAGCCCGGAGGGGCAGTTGAGAATATTGGCGTTTCCTAACAAATCACACTCGATGAATCGGTACTTGTCAAAAGCGTAAGCAAAGTAAATGTTACCCCTGTTTATATTTAATACAGAGCAAGGGTTGGAGGAGGGTTTACTGGTGACGACAGGAACAGGTGCTTGAGTGGTGGTTGTAGCCGGCATCACCGTGGGAAGGCTTCCCCCGCCAACTGTTGAACAGGAAGATGTGCTGGCTTTGTAGGTTAATCCCTGTGGACACTGAATAATGTACATACGTCCAAGGAGGTCGCACTGGATGAATTTGGAGGCGTCACTAGGGTGGGGATAGTAGATCCTGCCCTGAACATTGTTAACACAGGGGTTAGGTACGTTGGTGAATGGATCTGGAAAAAGAAGAACAAATACGTAATACTTCTAGGTTTGTAATACAATACAGCAATGGACAATTATAAAACTTCATTAGCTTAGAACGCAAAACAGTAAGGTTTCTACGATATGGCGACAATCCGAGTCCTTCCTTATCTGTTATTTTGACAAACTCAGAGTATGCAAAAGCCATGCACATTTCCTGTTTTCAGTTTTGCAATATAAATTCAGAATATGCGATAATGATATATATTATAATTTATATGTAAGTGGCATAAAAGGTGAAGACAAATAGAAATATATTAAGTGACCATGGAAGAAAGAAGGTGAAATCTAGGTACCATGGACCAATGATGGCAACAATTCTCCTCATAAACAAGTGAGTTCTTTTAAGATATATAATACTTATTCTGGTATTTGATAACCTTGTAACTTGATCAAAATTTTGCAGTTTCAGTAGGAATAAATTGTGTAGAGGATATGACCATACATGTATACCACTCACGGTTCTTTGTAAATAATGAAAATAAATGTATGCTCACCAGGGCATCCAGCTTGTCTCTTCACTGAAAAGAGAAAATTGATTAGTCTCCTGAGTGCAATTATTTTTTGTCAATTAAATGACGATTTTCAAAAAGTTAGAAAAAAGTACAAAATAATTTTCGAAGCGTGTTTGAATCCTATAAATGTTTAAGGTCTTGCTGTATAATCATGAGTAGAAAACTTTCGGATTTAAACATTTATTCCCGACGCCTTTGTCTCCGTGCAGCTTTATGGAACCTACTATACACAATGGAGATATAATCCTATTCGCCTGCGAGTCCACAAGAGAAAGCACAATGCTCATTAGATTTTACATATAAATAATAAAATTTTACGATTCATTCTCTGGAATTATATTTTTTTCCCGAACCATGGTTGAGTTTCGGTATTTTATGTGCGTTTTCTTCTTCATGAATGGTTTAAAAAAGATAATATACAATAACTATCATTGAAAAAATTTGAATTGCATGCATATATTCCATGTGTTTAAAAAAAATTGTTATTGCTTAAAATTCCTCAGCCCCCCCCCCCCCCGATTTGCCCTAAATCTGCAAAAAAAGGAGGATGCTTATAATATCCTCGCCTCATCCAGGCATGCGCATGAAATAACCCTCGGTGCGCGCCTACCAAGTACATCTTATAAGATGTACATATATGTGAACCTTAGAAGACTAATGATTTTGAGGTCAATCTGGAATTTTACATGAAGAATGCATGGCAATTTTTATCCATTGATATCGGAATAATTTGACTACTTTGACATGAATTTGAACTTTTCTCTTCACAAAAGTACTTTCAATTGATGCAAGCATCACCTTAAATCATCAATTACATTTGCATAGCAAATAAACATTCGATTTGAAAGTCGATTTCTAACGATTTTTTTCTCTCTCGGAATTTCCATACTCACCCAGAGAACCAGCCGACACAAGCCCGAGACAAACAACAACGACAGTTAGGGAGGGAAACATTTTGCTTGCTTGACAACCCGAAATGCGAATTATTCCACAAAGAACACAAGATATATATAGTAGCGGATACGGGGTACATAGGGGAAATAACCGGCCAAAATTTAGCTAAGTTAAAAATTGACCATAAATTATTTCAGTAATCAAAATTTAAAACTCCAAAACCATCTCTGGATGATTTTTGAATCTTTTGCAATAAATAGCTGTGTCTTGAAAAAAGAGAAAGTTGTCAGAATCTACCCACATTTGGTGCCTCCTGAAATATGAAATTCAGTACTTTGGGCGGTTATCATGAAGGTAGCTATAGTTCTATTTGTCCTAATCCTATCGGATATCTGTATTTGTCAAATGGGCAATGCTGGGTGATAGGATAGCTCCGCGAGCCAGCGTCTCTCCGGGCGCCTGTTTACCTTCTGGCCGTCAATGTTTACAGAAATCAAAAAGTCACAAACACCCCTCCACAACAACCTTACATAATTGTAACACAAAGATTTACTTTAATTACCAGATAAAGGTTCAAACGGTTGACAATAATAGCATTGTTATAAACGGATGGGTTGGGTTGGCAATTTTTTCATTGCTTAAAATTTAATCGCCATGACAGGTGTATGAGAAAAATTTGAAAAGTATAAAAAAAAAAAAAAAAGAGAACTTTTTTTTTCAAGGAGTAATAAATGTCATATCATATGTTTGATTTTTTAAGATTGGTCGAACAATTAACTGTGATGATTTAATGACTTTATCGCTATAACTTATTTCATATATTTATATATTGGTGTCACTAAAGATATAGCAGAACAATGAACAACAAAAGAAGAAACAATGAAGTAAGATATACATATATACATATAACTCTGATTTAGGGACTAAGGAGACCAGGCCATAATATGTGGCTTAGGGAGACAATATACACGTACCCACTTCTTAATTTTTTTTTTTTTTTTTCTAGAAAGAAATACCAAATCAGTGATCTATAGAGCACCAGTTATTTGTCTCTTGCATTGATTTTAGCCCTACACTAATCACAGGTACTTGTGGACAGGACCCCCCCCCCCGCCCCCCCCCCCCGATATTCAACCCCGGGGCTTGTTGGATATTTTTTTCAGAAATTATATTTATTGCACTTATTCATCATGTGCGTGTGGGTATTTTTGTGTGAAACGATTATTTTGGGGTTTTCACGATTTTTTTCCTATGACACACATGATGAATAAGTGCAATAAATATAATTTGTGAAAAAAAATGTCCAACAAGCCCCGGGGTTGAATATCGGGGGGGGGGGGGGGTCCTGTCCACAAGTACCTGTGCTGCTAATTAAGAGATTATTAGCCCAGAGTACCTCGTTATGATATCCATGTTTAACTCTAAATGCCCAATTCAGATGAACCTAAAAGTGAATGCAGACAGAGAAAAGACTTTAGACCAAGTACAGTATTCTTCATATTGCCTTGCTGAAGTCTCAAAGTTCACAGTGGACTTAAAGTAGTTTTTCCTGCTATTTATTCCTAGCTTCTTTAAAACCAAATAGTCATTGAGTGCATTCACTTTCCAATTACATGTATTTGATGAAGTTCTGACACATAACTATATTTGTTTAAATTCTTTGTGATTTAAGAATATGTTTGTCATATTAAAACCATGACTACTTGTACATCTACTTCATAAAATTTCAAGGTTGTGATTAGGATTCAGTAAAAGTTAAGCCCCATCCAGTATAGCAATATGTAAATAGCATGTTTTTATTTACATATTTGCTATCATTAGACTTGCATAGACCATAAACCAAAATAATTCAAATGCTTTAAAATCATTTGATTTTCACAGCTAGTCAAAATACAGTCACTCAAGTATACCTTTTGAAAATTTAAAAATAAAAGCTTTGCGAAATGAAATGATAGCTTTACATCAATTTTTTTAATTACCATACCAAAGCACAAGATAGTTCAATTCTCACATAATCCAATGATCCGTGTTGTGATCTGACATATTTAAAATTTAAGATGTCTCACATTTAGTTCTGTATACATTATATAGCAGTACAATGTGGCTCAAACCTAGTATCAATTAAATGAATCCTTTCTATTCATTTTTTAAAACAAGTTTGCAGAGTGAAAAGTATAATACGTAAATAGAAAATGTTGATACATTTATTGTCTGCATGTGATAGAAAACTTTTATAAATTATCATTGCCAGACATTGTATCACAACGGCTTTTACAAATTAATTCAATACATTCAAAGGTATACAAATCAAATTATTTTCATCCATGATTTTATCATTTAAGAAATCCCGATGGGCTTCTCAGAAGATTTGATCACGTACCAACCAAGTTCATTTCCCAGTGAACTTTTTAACATTGTTGTTTATTACTTTTATTTACATTTGAGACGAATATTCTGAAAAGAACTGCATTTATTACACGAACGGCCCGCCGTATTGCTATGTTGTGACGCGCAATGACATAGAAGCATTCGGCAAACCTCGGCTGATTCCGTCACATTCGGCAAACCTCGGCTGATTCCGTCACCTTCATCAAACCTCGGCTGTACGAGGAAACTTGATATGCGTCTCCGCTTAACATTTGTGATAAGTCTGCCTGTTTACCGCTTATGGAAAACGTAACGCTTTGAAAACGATAATAAACATGCATCTGATATACGACGAAAATTTTCAAAAGCATATAGGTTACACTAAGAATAACACTTACCAAGAAAAATGCACTTAGTATCTTTACATAATCACACGTTTGTTAACGGATCGAATTCAGCACACTGTGCACGTAAATGTAGGGCGCAGCCATATATTGCGTATAAAGTAGCTCCGGTTCAATGGAGGTTTACATGATACAGCCGAGGTTTGATGAGGTACGAATCGGCCGAGATGTGCCGAGTGGAAGCTGTTAATTGGTCTTGAGAGTTCGCCTCGCTCCAACATTTGATGTTCAGCAGTCCAGCTCAGGAAATAGCTGTTCATAATGAAAAAAACAAAACAATGATCGATACTGAGAATAATCTTACTATTATTGTATGCCTTGAGTTCTTTATATATGAAGTCAAAAGCGGTGGTATCGTCTTCAGTTTACACACCTTCAAAGGAATTTTGGGTTAAAAAGGTAAGCGTGATTTTAGGCTAATTAAAAACATTCTTCACACCGAAGAAAGAACTTATGATCATTTGTTGCACTAAAAAAAAACCATATGTTTCATTAATTTTATCTTTTTCATCGCTTTAACGGCTTAGCAGTTCCGAAACCAGTATCACCGTGACAGAAATATGTAGACAAGATACATGTATCATCTCGCTGTGTGATTCGGTCACGCCATGACCTCTGACCCCCTAATAAGTTCATACAGAATTGAACATATTTTCTCTTCAATAGGTTCATCTAAGAAAAATATTTGCAAATGTAAATTTATAAATTCTGTTGAAAAAAAGCTGCAACATCCATTATATAAAATGAACAGTAGTTGGCACTGATGGTACTTTAATCCCCTACTTTGCCCCCCCCCCTCCCTCATGGTTCATGATTTGAACAAATTTAAATCTTACACTACCTGAGGATGCTTCCATAATAATCTGACTAATTATCAGGGCTTCGCTATTCTTGAGAAGAACATTTTTTCAGGATTTTTTTCCTAAATATCCCTATGTAAAACTTTGATCCCCCATTGTGGGTCCACCCAACCTCAAGGGGTCTTGATTTGAACGAACCTAAATAATAAATATACAATACCCGAGGATGCTTCCATATTAATATGAATCAACAAGACTTTGCTATTCTTGAAAAGAATTTTCACGATTTTTCCCATATATTCCGTTGTAAAAATTTCATCCCCCATTGTGACCCACCCTACCCCGGGGGTCATGATTTGAGCACACTTGAATCTACTTTACCTGAGGATATGTCCATATAAATATGACGAAACGTGGCATTGTTGTTCTTGAGAAGATTCTTTATGATTTTTTCTAAATATTCCTATGTAAAATTTTGATCCCACATTTTGGCCCCACCCTACCCCGGGGGATCATGATTTAAACAAAGTAATCTACACTACGCAAAGAAGGTTTAACATAAGTTTCCACTTTTTTGGCCTAGTGATTCTTGAGAAGAAGATTTTTAAAAGATATCACACAATTTTCACTATTTCATAATCATCTGATGGAAAAAGGATAGGCCCCTCATTTGAACAAATTTGAATCCCCTTCACCCAACGATACTTAGGCCAAGTTTGGTTGAAATTGGCCCATTGGTTATGGAGAAGAAGATTAAAATGTGAAAAAGTTTATGATAACAACAACGATGACGATGACAACAACGACAGACAACAATCAAGTTTCGATTAGAAAAGTTCACTTGAGCATTCGGCTCAGGTGAGCTTATATAAAAAATGAATATTACAAGACAAGACGCTTATTTTGTTGTGTGTTGCGAGTGCCTGTGACTGTAGCGATTAACTGGTTTTTACAGTTATGTGTAAATTAGGGATGCCATTTTCCCAGATAGCATAGTTCAATAATTGGGGGGCTTCAGTCAAGCAATAGTAAAGTACTAGTACTCATTTAAAGTGATTTTTTTCTCATGTCTGTTTAGTTCCTCTCCTTACACAAATAATGTAATCACTTGATGTCATTTAAAGGTGCTTTGGTCCAGCTCAGTTATTGATTTCTGACTTGAAAACAGTTATCAAAACGTAAAAAAGTGTTTTAAATCTTATTTATGCAATTTGTGCGGGAAACAAATGCAACCAGTAAATAAATTTTGAAATATAAAAGCATGCGCGCATCTACCTCCAAAATTAAAGGTATGCTTAAGTATGTATTAATTCTTTTTCTTTAAAAAAAATGATCTACATCAGAGGTGGGTCTAAGCTTTGACACCAAAAGACCAAACGAAGAAAAGCATTTCTCTCAATTTATTAATTTTCTTCATGTTATTAACTTGAATTTAGAATTAGTATGAAATAAAAGCGCCATTTTAACAAGGAAGTAAGTTTAAAAATTTAGTCGATAGTC